CTCAAATTCACAAATTCTCCAATTGTCAAATTGTTAAATTTACAAATTCTAAATCCCACATTCCAAATTTTCAAGTGACTAAATTCCGCAATTCTTCAAATTCCTATATTTTTACATTTTTAAATCTTTCAATTTCTAAAATTCCAACACAGAAATTTCCAAATTCCAAATTTTTTAATTTTTTATTCAAAAATTATTTATATTATAAATTCTCAAACTTCAAAACCTCCAACTTTCCAAAATTTTATATTTCCAAATCCTCAAATTTCCAAAATCATAAATTTGGACAAGCTCTAATTTTCAAGAATTTAACTATCAAAAATCTCAAATTTCTTAAAACTACAAGTTCTTTAATTTTCAAATTATCAAATTTTCAAAATTCCAAAATGTGAAAATTCAAAAATTCAAAAATTTAAAAATTTAGATATGAACTTTTTGAATTCTCAAAATTGAAATTTGCAGATTGAAGTGTTGTAAAATTAAAACATTTAAGTATTCAAAAATTTTCAAATTAAAATATTAAATTTCTCAATTTTTTAATTCTTAAAATTTCAAAATGTTTATGTTTCTAATTGTACAACTTTTCTAGTGCTCTTAATTTCAAAATACCTAAATTTTCAACTCATCAAGTTTCACGTTCACAAATTAAAAAATCTAAAAACTTCTCAAAATTTTGATTTTCCAAAACTCTTAAGTTTCTGCTTTTCAGAAATAGTAAAATTCTGGAATTTTAAAATTCTCAATTTTTCAAATGTTAAATTCTTTAATTTCCTAATTTTCACATATTCAAAATTCAAAACTTGCAAATCTTTAAGTTCAAAAATTTTGTAACTCATTATTTTCCAGATTTACAATTTTACAAATTTATAATTTCACAGACTTGCAATTTCCCAAATGTACAATTTTCCAAACTTACAATCTTCTTAATTTGCAATTTTTCAAACTTGCAATGGTTCACATTTGCAACTTTCCAAACTTACAATTGTTCATATTTGAAATTTTCCAAATGTACAATTTTCTACATTTGCAATTATCCAAATGCATAATTTTCCTTATTTGCAAATTTCCAAACTTACAATCTTCTTAATTTGCAATTTTCCAAACTTACAATCTTTTTAATTTGCAATTTTCCAAACTTACAATGGTTCACATTTGCAATTTTCCAAACTTACAATTGTTCATATTTGAAATTTTCCAAATGTACAATTTTCTACATTTGCAATTATCCAAATGCATAATTTTCCTTATTTGCAAATTTCCAAACTTACAATCTTCTTAATTTGCAATTTTCCAAACTTACAATCTTTTTAATTTGCAATTTTCCAAACTTACAATCTTTTTAATTTGCAATTTTCCAAACTTACAATCTTTTTAATTTGCAATTTTCCAAACTTACAATCTTTTTAATTTGCAATTTTCCAAACTTACAATCTTTTTAATTTGCAATTTTCCAAACTTACAATCTTTTTAATTTGCAATTTTCCAAACTTACAATGGTTCACATTTGCAATTTTCCAAACTTACAATTGTTCATATTTGAAATTTTCCAAATGTACAATTTTCTACATTTGCAATTTTCCAAACCTACAATTGTCCACATTTGCAATTTTCCAAACCTACAATTGTCCACATTTGCAATTTTCCAAACTTACAATTTTTCCTTTACAATCTTCTCATTTATAATTCCCTTAACACATAATTTTCCAAATTAACCTTCCAAATTCCACCCCCCAAAAATCTGAAAACTCAAAATCTCCATATATGGCCACCCATCACGCAAACACCCCTCTCCACCCTACACTCCCCCACCAATCAATCGAAGTTCCTCGTACTTATCTCCGTCGACCAAGAAATCGAAATCGAATATAAAATCGAGTCGTCACTTACGCCATTTGAAAACGATTAAACGGCTCGGTGTTACGACCAGTCTTCGCCTCTTGTGGAAATGGTAATTTGGAACGGATAAGTTCGTTACGGTAAAATTCGTTACGTCACTTTCGGCGATATACAAACACGCGCGTTCTCGTGGCAATTTCACGTGGTTTAACGTCCCTGTTATTCGTTCTCCTGAACGAGGGACACCGGTACAATATAATCGGCGAGTTTTGGCGCTTAAAAATCGGAAAGAATAGAAAAAACGAGTACGAAGAAAGAACATCAAAATTCGATACGAAGATTTTTAGTACCTATTTACGAAAGCTCTCGATCGTATTTCTTAAATTGATATAATTCGTTATGCATTTGAATTTTCATCGTCGCTTCTTCCTTCATCTTCATCTTGTCTATCTAAGTTCGTATATTTACATTATATACATGTAAAACGGTTAATTTATATCCTCGTACCTTAATGATTGTATAATTAGGATTGACTATGTCTTAGAATAATCAACGGAATTAATTATTGTGTAAAATATCAAATATCGTACTGTTAGATGGTATGTCCATCTCCAAGGTACCATTTTGGACGAATATCGGTCCGTCTAACATGCCTAGCACTTTGATGAGCAAATACTTTGGAGATTACATAATCTAATTTAATATCAGGTAATATTAAGTATAGATGATTTCGTTAATTACAAATATAAAACATGTATATGTAAATAGAATTCTTAATTATGCGCAAACATGTTCTCTAATTGAGCATACGTGAATTTTTTTTTTATCATCAGTCTAAGCCGAACTGTGCGGCTCCATACACAACAGCAGCGGTTAACAATACACGTTTTTTTTTGTTTCTTTAAGCTTTTGTAGAATCTACCGTAACAAATCAGTGTCCTCCTCACGCTTCTCCACTTCCTCCTCTCCTCCTCCTCCGTCAATGAAATAACAATAGCGCATGCTACGGAAAACTTTTATATTCGTAAAACTTTCAAACAGTTTCTCAAGCATAAAACACACATGACAACGGTGCGGAAAGTATACGATATTCGTGTGAACACGCGTCTTCTCGTGCGACTTTTCCTTCTCCGTTTGAAATTCCCGCGCGCGGGAAAACGTAGTTTCCTTCTCCGTTTGAATTTCCCGCGCGAACGGAGCGCGGGAAAACGTAGAGAAAATGGCGGACGCTCTCCGTACAGTACGATTGCTCGAAATATACGTTGCTTAGGTATCTCTGGAGCAATCTTACTGATTAATTACTTAGATTACGGTCGCACAATACGCGAGCCAAATTAGAAGTGAAACGACAGTTATTTATATAGACGTGTCACTGAGTTTTCAACGAAACGTTGATACGTTTCTTCTTGTCAAGCAACGGAAAGAAAGGATTTCGATTGAGCGTATCGATTGTACGATCTTCGTGGAATCGAATGAAAGTTACACATTGTCGACCAATACTTTAAGTATTTCGCTGCTGGCTTTGTGCCGTTTAGAGATGGGATTGAGTTATGTTTTTTTAGTTGAATGAATGGAAGGTTAGGTTAGGTTAGTGGGATTGTGAGATGTCTTCGTGTGTAGGTTTTATTAGAGGGTTCTCTAAGATGGCGATATAGAAAGAGGATTTAGTTTGTAGATGGGGAAATTTTAATATTTGAATTTAGGTGTGGAGGAATTTTAAAATTTGGAAATTTGGAAGAGGTGCAATTTGGGGTTTTTTAGATACAAATTTTGAAATTTGGAAATGTAAAATTTTGGAAGTATAAAATTTCAGAATTTGGGAATTTTCTGATCTAGAAATTTAGAAGTATTTGCGAATGTACAAATGTAGAAATTTGGGATTTTAATTCTGGAATTCAAAAATTTTGGAATTGTGGAAATTTGCAAATTTTAGATTTTTGGAATTTTAAAAATTTGTAAATTTAAAAATTTGGGAGATCTCTTCGGGAATGTCTTAATTTGCCAATTTGAAAATTTGGGAATTTGAAAATACACGAATTTCAAATATAAAAACATGTAATTGTAATTTAGAAAATTCTGAAATTTCAAAATTCCAAGTTTTGCTCATTTCCCAAAATCAAATGAGAGATTCTCTAAAACAATTATTCAAAGTATCTCAAAATTACAATTTCAAAATCTCAAATTTTTCAAAGAACACGTGGGAAATAAGTCACTATACATTGTCACATATGCCATAAATCACATATGTCATATATCATAAATGCCACATATCACATATGTCACGTCACATATGCTACATATCACATATGCCATAAATCACATATGCTATATATCACATATGTCACATATCACATATGCCATATATCACATGTCATATGTCAGATATACCATATATCACATATGCTACATATCACATATGCCATATATCACATATGCTACATATTACATATGCCATACATATATCAGATATGCTACATATCACATATGCCATATATCACATATGTCATATATCACATATGTCACATATCACATATGCCATATATCACATATGTCATATATCAGATATACCATATATCACATATGCTACATATTACATATGCCATACATATATCACATATGCTACATATCACATATGCCATATATCACATATGTCATATATCACATATGTCACATATCACATATGCCATATATCACATATGTCATATATCAGATATACCATATATCACATATGCTACATATCACATATGCCACATATCACATATGCATATTCCCCAAATCACATATGATTCCTCAAATGCAACAATCAATAAAAAATTCAATCTCTCCCAAATAAAAATGCATTTACAAAAATTCCTCTTCCACAAAATCCTTGCAAACTATACAATTAAATTTAACCTGCAATATACCTAAATCCCATCTCTAATAAATCGTGTCTCTCCCATACGATAGGCCAAACATGCGATCATTTTTCTATCATTTTTCTCTGCTTTCTTTTCAAAAATATATGTCGACTACTTAGGCTTTCGATAAACGGAAAGACGTTGTCTCGTCCGATAACTGGAATAATGTTTCTCAGATACAATACGTGGCCTAGCATAACCCTATACAAATACTTTATTATAGCTTAGGTAAAGTGAGACCCTCATATGATCCATTTTAATTACTTTTTTTTTTTTGTTTCATTTGTTTCTGCAACGTGTACGTGTACGTGTGTGTATGTGTGTGAAACGCTGATATCGCACTATGTACAAGGATAATCAATTCAATCGAAATAAATTGCAAAAATATATATGTATAAACATTTAGTTGAACTACGTTTCATATCTGTCTTTATCGTCTCGCATAAAGATCGTTTTTATGCAAATGCAACTTCTAACTTGGCTGTGCCAGGGAGAATAGATTACTCTTAACTAAACTCATACTCGCATAATTAAACTTATGTACTATTGTCTTTTTTCAAGATATCACTACTCCAAGACGTTCACTTTTACCTCTTTCGTTCATTCTTGAGTTCATTTCGTTGCGATATTCTCGGTAGGAAAATGGCCGCCGCCATCTTAACGAGATCTCGTAACAAGTCAACGGCTTTCACGTGCTGATCCTTGTAAAAAATCGCGGCACGAAATAGAAAATTAGGCAGTGGAAAGTGAAAGCAGTAAAAATCTTTCTTACATCGTATTAAACAAGAGGCTTACTAACTAATCTCACAAACATCGTTCGTGAACATTTGGCATCCGTTTTTCTTCTAAAATTATCGTACAAAATCATTTGATTATAAACGAAGTTACTCGTGAACGCCATCTTTAACAAACTCAGCGGCGTCACGTGAAAACTGTTCACCCTATTGTGGATATTTTCCCAACCCTTGTCATGGTTTCATCGTTCGCATTTCAAAACGAAAATTGCCGAACGAAACAGAACGCCATTTTGTCCCAACACGTGTAAATAACCAATTATCCGTAGTATTGACTTCAGAATTCGGCAGTGAAAACTTTGTTTTCTACGTAAACGTTCAATAAAACAACGGAACGTCGAAAAGTCTCAAAAAATTCGGAAATTCACCTAACCTCGAAGGTCCGCGAAAAGCGCGGGAAATTCGAACGCGTTCGCGGACACGAAACGCAAGATAAGCTCGAGAGGACGAAAGCTGTACGTGCGTTAGAAACTTTCTTATCTAAACGTTGCCTAATTAGTAGCTATCCAGCCGTTCGAGTTCTTAACTAGCTTCAACAAAGACAGCGTCGTGAGCAAGAGGGTCAGGGAAGAAGGAAATCAGTTGTTGGATCGCTACCGTTTACAAACCTCGTCAACTGTTTCCCTGTGTAAAACGATTGTCTCGCTTCCTTCAGAAATTCAAACAAGAGCCCGCCAAATATCGGGGTAGACCGATGTCCTTCAACCAATTCGCAAACGAAACCATGGACGGTCGTACGTATTCGTGAAAGAACGAAGGAAACACGCGAATATGCGATTATCACGGTGAGCAGCATTCCATCGAGAGGGATTTACTTTCAAAAGGGCTGCCATCGAAAGATATCTCACGTCCCTTCGAGTCCCCTCGAGATCTGACCGCGAATTAGAGCATCTGGACCTTCGCGGTCAATTCTCGAGGCTTACAACTTAGAGTCCATAAATGTATCCTTTTTCACGAAACAAGAATCACTGTCACGCGAAGATATCTTCCTGGTTCACCGTTCTTCAACACGTGATATGCGAAACGTAATCTTATACGATCGTGCGTGAACTTGAGGTATATGTACCTAGTCCGTGTAACTAAACCAGCAATATAAGGAATGCATTCTAATCCGCGGCACGGGCGCGTGCTTCTTAAAATTATCAGATCGGCCACCGCTGACGGCGCCATTTTATTTACATGCTTCGTTACTTTCTTTCATTCGGGTTCAAGGAGGATACACGAGAAGGTCGTTGGAGCACCCACACGAAACTCACGCGGTGTCGAGCAGCGAACGTTTCACGTCCTCAGTCCTTGCTGATTGATTGTGTCTCGAGTGTGACGCCGGAAACGATGAACGAGGCCGATGATTCAAAGGTTCGAGGTCACCCTCGAGGCGGGATTAGAGCCGGGTGGTTCTTTCTGTAACGGTAACAGTCTCGTCCCTCGGAACGGCGCGGTACTTGCCGCGCACCGAACTGGGGCCGAATATCGGTGATCCTCAGACAAGATGGCCGTCGATGTCGGAGTAGGCGGGCGTCGGGGTGAAGGTCGACAACGGGTGTCCATGGGTGTGCGCGTTGCTGGCCACGGAGCGGGCGAAGGTCGTGGGCGGCGGGGGCACCGACGGCCCGGCGGTCATCACTGTCACATCCGGCGGCGGGACTGGACGTGGCAGGGTTCTGCTACGCGTCAATGTTCCCGTTCCGCTGTTCATGTGACTCGACATCAGGTGTCCCGTGGGACTCATGGATGGATAGTAGCTGCCGGAGCCGGGCTCGCTCACCACCGGTATCGGGCTGTGGTTCGTCTCGTATCCCATGTAGCGACCGTTGTCGATCTCCACGCTGTAGAAGTTCACGTCGTTCGGCGGGGCTGGACTCGGGTTTCCGATGTAGCTTGATTTCGATACTGGAATTCAATCGGGAGGGTCATGCTTTTGATATTAGGTCTTTGTACCTTGTCAAACTAGGGTCTATGTTAATTACACTATTATTCATCTATGATTATATGAGAGAGACATGTGTGTCTACAAGGAGATTATGTTCTGAAGCTTTAGACTATGTTCTGGAGGACTATGAGAAGATGCAATCCTGAGGGACTGAACAAGATATATACACTTGTCTGTCTGTTCATGTAGTTTAAATAAACCCTATGAATCCTATGAGTAATTATACTATGCCAGTTGTCAGGCAAATGCCCAGATTTCAGTCAAGTAACATGAAGGATTAAGGAGGTAGCCTATGAAGCTTGGAAGCTCATGTCCACCCTATTTGTTGTTTGAGAAGAAGTCTGGCTATTTTTTGGTGTAAATATATTTTTAGGAACTGGTTAGACAAAACAAGTAGTCAGACAAGTTTATAGATTCTATCTGGTCAAATAATTTAGGAGGACGAAGATAGTTTCAGAGGCCTGCAATATTATACTCCCCGTTTATTGCTTGACCAGGTGGAATCTGACTATTTTTTCAGTGTAAATACATTTGTAGGGACTATTTATACTAGACAAAAAATCAAAGAGCTATATAGACTCCATTTAGTCAGGTAACTTAAGAGGGAGATGGTAGCCTATGAGGCCTAACTATGCTCCTCCCTGCTTATTGCTTGCCCAGGTGGAATCTGACTATTTTCTCAGTGTAAATGCATATGTAGAAACTGTTTAAACTAGACAAGTAATCAGAAAGCTATATAGACTCCATCCAGTCAGGTAACCTAAGAGAAAGATGGTAGCCTATGAGGCCTAACTATAGTCTTCCCTGTTTATTGCTTGACCAGGTGGAATCTGACTATTTTTTCAGTGAAAATACATCTGTAGGGATCTTTTAAACTAGACAAGTAATCAGAAAGCTATATAGACTCTATCCAGTCAGGTAACCTAAGAGAAAAATGGTAGTCTATGAGGCCTAACTACACTCCTCCCTGTTTATTGCTTCACCAAGTGCAATCTAACTATTTACCTAATGTAAAGAAGTTTATAGGAATTGTTCAAACCAGACAAGTAATTAGACAAATAGACCCTGTGCAGTCAAGTCACTTAACAGGAAGAAGATAACTTATGTGGTTATATTTCCTCCAGTTTCATTGACTGGATTCCAATCATCTAACTACTTGACCAACATAAATGCATCTTTAGTTCATATTTAACCTACGAAAATACATAAATGAAGCGTCCAATTAAACTTGAGAGGCAAGTAGCCTGTCAGACTTCATAGGCTACCTTCAACTCAATGTTCCTAGACTAGAATCTGGGTACATGTCTGATAACTTGCCCAGTGTAAATACATATTTAGGTTCTATTTAAACAGCACAAGTTATCTGATTACTTATCTAAGTATACTGTATTTAATTAAGTAAGTGAAAGGTAGCCTATGAGACCTAGCATCCTGGGCTTTGTTTTGCTTAACTGAACATAGTTTGACCGATTACCTAAGTACTTGCCTACTGTAAATGTGTCTGTAGGTTGTGTTTAAACAAGGAAAGTAGTTAAGCAAATGGTCAGACAGTCAAGAACCTTGAGAGGCAGTGTAACCTGTTAGGCTTCATAGGCTACCATACTTGAGGTTGTTTGACTTTCTTCAGACTTGAGGTTATTTAATAGGGTTTGACCACCTATCTAACTTATTAGCCAGATGTTAAAGCTGGATGATGACTCCTTGTCTGAGTGTCACATATGAATTTCTTTCAAACTCAAATTTCTGAAACGCTAGGATTTGATGTACTGATCAGATGTTTCACATGTGTTATGTCATACCGATGCACATGTAGCGTTCACAGGTAATTTCTAAGACTAATGGTTGATTGAAAATTGATGATAATAAATACCGTTACAAAAAGATGTACCAGAAAGCGTTCCACTGGCGGTGGTCCGTTGCGGAGGTGAGTCCATGCTCATAGGTGGTTGTATGTGGTTGCCACGACGACCAAGGGTTCCCTGATGGTGTACCTGCATTTCCATGTTCCCTTTCCCAAAATCTTGCATAGTTTGATCTATTAAATACGTGCTAGCCGCTGTCTTCCTACCCTCGTCCTATTGGCGTTACACACAGAGAGAGAGAAAGCGTTTTGTTAAATCAACAGTACCTCAAGCAGATAAACCTGCAACGTGCCTATCAAAATCGTTAATGCAACGTATATCGAACCGCGTACAATGTAATTTCACGAGTCTCGTATTTCCAACGTTCGTAGCGTATCAGTATGAAGGTACACGCGTACGTTGCCGGTTTTACATGCATCATCGAAGCGACAGTTCGTGTATCGACGTTTATGTTAAAACAATATCATCCTGATACATTACGAGAGATTCGGAGGAAGATTGCTACTTTTGCGGGGGCGAGTAAAATGTGAAGGTGTTTTAAATGACCGGGATTCGATGTCGATGGACATTTGGGTTCGATATTAAATATTTAAGTTTATTGAGAAGTCACGTGCAAGGAAAGTTTGAGCTACTCAAATTGTCCAAGTTTTATTAGCTTTCTACGAGAAATAGATTTCTGATAGGTAGTTTATTATTCGTTTAATGTTAGTTTCAGCGTTCATCAATGAGGTAATTTTGGGTCTTTTTTGGAGTTGGTTCTGTGGGCAACGTAGGCTTCCACTGGATGACGAGAAAATTAAATTTGAAAGATAGGGAGATAATTTTGAAAATTCTAGTTCTGAAAATTAAGTTATTAAATTGTTAAATTAGAAGATTTTCCATTTGTGTGATTAATAATTTCAAAAATAAAAAAATGGTATTTTCAACATGGCAAATATGCAATTTAAAATATTGTTGAATTTTTATACTTGTAATTTAATAAATATCTAACATTGAAAATTTGAAAGCTTGAGAAGGTTACTGGATTAAATACTGAATACTGAAATAATTTTATAATTTCGAAATTTTTGTGATTTTTAAGTTTTTTAATTTCTGAATACAAAAATTTGTATATTTGAAAATTTGCCAGTTCAAAAATTTAAGCACTTTGTAGAATATTTGAGTACTTGAGTACTTGAGTAATTGAATACTTGAGTACTTGAGTGATTGAATACTTGAATACTTGAATACTTGAATACTTGAATACTTGAGTACTTTAATACTTGAGTACTTTAATACTTGAGTGCTTGAATACTTGAATACTTGAATACTGCAGTACTCGAATAATTAAATAATTGAATAACTGAATAATTGAAGACTTGAATATTTGAATACTTCAGTACTTGAATAATTAAATAATTGAATAACTGAATAACTGAAAACTTGAAAACTTGAAAGCTTGGAAACTTGAAGAAAACTTGAAAATTCACAAATTTCACAGTTTGAATCGCAAAAGTTTCGAAAACTTAAACACTTAAAAATTTGAAAAATTAATCATCCAAAACCTTCAACCCCTAAAAGAATTTTAGACTCGAAAACTTTGAAATTAATAAATTCACCTAATTAAATAATTAGAAAATACATAAACTTGAAGGTATCTAATTTGGAAACTAAACTTCAAATACCCCGATATTATCCATCAAAACAAACGAGTATCGCCATTATCCCCAGGGAAGCCTGTCGTGCTCGTCCACAAACATTTACCGCAAATCTGTACCACCGTCAAAAACAAAACATACTCTACAAGCATTCAACACAGATCGTCAAGCAAAATTCTGAAAAAACTGTACGAAGTATCCCAATCTTCCCCTACGTGCACATTTCAATAAATCTACCCCCGAAAGCCCTGCCCCGTAGGGTCTTGGAAGAAGTAAGATATTCACGAACGACAGGAACAAGAATACCAAGTTACTACTGATCAAGCTCCAGAGGGATTCGTTACTAACTAAATGAAAAAAAAACAACAGAAATTCTGTCACTGAAGTATAAGAGATAAGAGAGTGTCAAACCAGAATTGGCGCGTAGAAGGTTGACCCAGAGTGAAGGAAGCTCCACTTACCCCCCGTGAATTTCGACATATCGGTTAGGTTAGGTTAGGTAACAAGAATAATGAGCACTCGATAACGAGTGCCGTTGAAGTTCTCATCGACTGCGATGTCATTAAATCGTAACCGAGTAAGTCGAATAACAAATCTGAATAGCGTTGCGCACGAAATGGCGGCGGGCGCCAACAAAATGGCGGTGGACGCGAACAAAATGGCGACTTGTACAACTACCGATAATCAGAAGGCCCAAAGCAGTCTTACTCAGTAGTCAGTAGGTAGCCTCACTCAGTAGTACATAAGTAGGCTTACTCAGTAGTCAGTAGGTAGTCCAACTCAGTAGTCAGTAGGTCAGTAGCAATTTTGCTCTGCCTTGGGGACTGTGAGATCCAATACTACCGCCGAAAATACGTGTGAGTCTTTTTTTTTTTTTTTTTTTTTTTTTTTTTTTTTTTTTTTTTTTTTTTTTTTTTTTTTTTTTTTTTTTTTTTTTTTTTTTTTTTTTTTTTTTTTTTTTTTTTTTTTTTTTTTTTTTTTTTTTTTTTTTTTTTTTTTTTTTTTTTTTTTTTTTTTTTTTTTTTTTTTTTTTTTTTTTTTTTTTTTTTTTTTTTTTTTTTTTTTTTTTTTTTTTTTTTTTTTTTTTTTTTTTTTTTTTTTTTTTTTTTTTTTTTTTTTTTTTTTTTTTTTTTTTTTTTTTTTTTTTTTTTTTTTTTTTTTTTTTTTTTTTTTTTTTTTTTTTTTTTTTTTTTTTTTTTTTTTTTTTTTTTTTTTTTTTTTTTTTTTTTTTTTTTTTTTTTTTTTTTTTTTTTTTTTTTTTTTTTTTTTTTTTTTTTTTTTTTTTTTTTTTTTTTTTTTTTTTTTTTTTTTTTTTTTTTTTTTTTTTTTTTTTTTTTTTTTTTTTTTTTTTTTTTTTTTTTTTTTTTTTTTTTTTTTTTTTTTTTTTTTTTTTTTTTTTTTTTTTTTTTTTTTTTTTTTTTTTTTTTTTTTTTTTTTTTTTTTTTTTTTTTTTTTTTTTTTTTTTTTTTTTTTTTTTTTTTTTTTTTTTTTTTTTTTTTTTTTTTTTTTTTTTTTTTTTTTTTTTTTTTTTTTTTTTTTTTTTTTTTTTTTTTTTTTTTTTTTTTTTTTTTTTTTTTTTTTTTTTTTTTTTTTTTTTTTTTTTTTTTTTTTTTTTTTTTTTTTTTTTTTTTTTTTTTTTTTTTTTTTTTTTTTTTTTTTTTTTTTTTTTTTTTTTTTTTTTTTTTTTTTTTTTTTTTTTTTTTTTTTTTTTTTTTTTTTTTTTTTTTTTTTTTTTTTTTTTTTTTTTTTTTTTTTTTTTTTTTTTTTTTTTTTTTTTTTTTGTTATGTAGGATCATTAAGGTGCCCTCATCAGTCACCACTCCGTGTGAGTCTAGGCGTCCATTTTTCTCTTCTGACCAATTAGGGCCGTAGTCCTTCCAAACACCTGGGTCAGCCTCCCACGCGCCAATTCCTGGCTCGACTACGGTATGTACTGTAGACAACCCTGTTCCTGGCGCGTAGGCTGAGCCAGGTTTAATGTTCCTGGCGCGCAGGCTGAGCCAGGTTTAAGGGATGCCACCTTGAACAGTCCAATGTGACGTTCTGACGTTCGACCACTCGAAACGTTTGCCGACTTGTTCTTTGACTCGATAGTGACCGATACCGCCGAAAGTGTGGGTATTTTTCTATTCTGAATGGAGTAGTCCAACCTGGGTCAAGTCATGGGTTCATCAGCCTCCTACGCGCTAATTCTTGGGTCAACTGGTCTAACGTTTCTTTGGATAAATTAAAACAAAGTAATAGAAGCGAAGGGGTTTCAAACGGAAGTAGAATGAAACAGAAATGTGTTAATAGAACTCAAACCTACCCTCCGGCATTACTTGTTACTAAGAACATACTGACTGATCGCACTGACCACGTAATCATTAGTGTCGAAGTTAACGTCGCTCTTCTCATCCGAAACCGAACTTAACTCGCCGGTCATTGTGTCTCCGTTGACGGTCGATGGTGCGTACATATCCGCTGTCTGCGATTTGTTTATTCCTGTGCAGAAATATAAGCTGAGTTAAAGATAGTGTTCTTGGAATTTGTGTTATTAATGTGAGCATTGAATACTCCCAGTATTATTTAGGGGGATTTTTGGGATGTCTGATAAGGAAAATTGATAAGTATTGTAATCAGTACATAAGATAAGGACCGTTGGAGTATTTAGAGACGTTAAGTCTTAAGTCTTTGTGGAGTCTTTAGAGTCGTTAAGTCTTAAGTCTTTATGGAGTCTTTAGAGTCATCAAGTCTTAAGTCTTTATGGAGTTTTTAGAGTCATCAAGTTTTAAGTCCTTATGGAGTCCTTGGAGTCATCAAGTCTTAAGTCTTTATGGAGTCTTAGAAATTATACTAGGAGTATTTTGACACTAGACCTCTTGGAATAACTCTGTATTAACTCTTGGACGGTGATCTTAAATTTGTAAGAAACGCTCAGAGGGCGCTGAAGTAGGAAACAAACATGGCGGACGTAAAATACAAACATGGCGGACGCAAGGATACTCTTAATATCGTAAATATCCTACAAGGAAATTTAAATATTTAGAAACTGAAGAGTTTGAAAACTTGAAAATTAATTAAAATACTTGAAGACAGAAAATTTATCATCTTGAAAAGTTCCTGAATTCTTAAACTTTAGTCTGTATTTAATTAACGGTTGGGTTAGGTACCTATCACCGTCCAAGAGTTAATACTCACAGAAAGGGAAATAAAAAATGCTTAATCGACACAATATGATCCTGCATAAATTCTCTATATTGCACAAATTATGCAATAATTATTAAAATTATTATTAACTAACTTACTGAAGTAGTATTAATCAAATATCTTTCTGCACAAAGACAGCAAAATACAAAAATATCACAATTACTAAAATTTCAGGTTCAATAATTTTTACAATTTTTAATTTCACATCATTTTTATTCACACTATTAAACTTTTTTACCGTCACATTTCTCTTCAAATATTTTTCAAATTCCCCAAAAACATTCCCTTATATCAAAACATAGAACATATATCAAAACACAGACTCTAAAGGTAGATTAAGCATTTTCCCTGAAAGTATCAATAACTACCCGACAAGATATATATATTTTCATTAGCATAGTAAATATTTCACGGCAACGAGAACCCGATAAATCCTTATAGAATTAACTTACTAGATTTATTTCTCTTTCTCATAATGTACCACAACACGACGACCAAGATATTAATGATAAAAAAGATGAGGGACGTTGCTGCGAACGTATAGATATAATTCATTGTAAAATCCCCCTTTTCCAAGAGAACGTCCGGCAGGTTCTCCGCGTTATTCGGTCCTGCAGGATAAATCAGAAAAGACGAGAATACATATGGATGATTATATTTACCGGAACGTTGAGCCTTCTTTTTCGATTTTAATGTAGCAAAGACAATGGGCGCAGCAATGAGTAGGCATACAGAGGCGGAAACAGTGATGATAATGACGATGATGTAGGAAGAATTAATCTCGCTGGATGTCACGTCGGTAGGTGGTGCCTCCCCTGTAAGCCAAGCCAACGCCCCATCACCGAATTGTTATTCATGCAATGATACTCTACGATGTTAGTTACATTTAGCATGATCGATTTCTTCTTAACGCATTCGCTGCTATGCACTTTATTTTCTAGGTAAAGAGTTAACTCTTTGGGGTTAGCTTTTTTTTTACGTTAGGTTTAGGTTTAGGGTAGGTCTAGGTTTAGATTTGGTTTAGGTTTAGGTTAGGTTTAGGTTAGGTATAGGTTTAGGATATGTTTGGGTTTAGGTTAGGTTTTGGTTTAGATTTGGATTAGGTTTTGGTTACGTTTAGGTTAGGTTGGAGTTAGGTCTAGGTTAGGTCTACATTAGGCTTAGGTCAGGTCTAGGTTAGGCTTAGGTTAGGTCTAGGTTAAGTCTAGGTTAGGTTTAGGTTAGGTTTAGGTTAGGTATAGGTTTAGGATATGTTTGGGTTTAGGTTAGGTTTTGGTTTAGATTTGGATTAGGTTTTGGTTACGTTTAGGTTAGGTTGGAGTTAGGTCTAGGTTAGGTCTACATTAGGCTTAGGTCAGGTCTAGGTTAGGCTTAGGTTAGGTCTAGGTTAAGTCTAGGTTAGGTTTAGGTTAGGTTTAGGTTAGGTATAGGTTTAGGATATGTTTGGGTTTAGGTTAGGTTTTGGTTTAGATTTGGATTAGGTTTAGGTTACGTTTAGGTTAGGTTGGAGTTAGGTCTAGGTTAGGTCTACATTAGGCTTAGGTCAGGTCTAGGTTAGGCTTAGGTTAGGTCTAGGTTAAGTCTAGGTTAGGTTTAGGTTAGGTTTAGGTTAGGTATAGGTTTAGGATATGTTTGGGTTTAGGTTAGGTTTTGGTTTAGATTTGGATTAGGTTTAGGTTACGTTTAGGTTAGGTTGGAGTTAGGTCTAGGTTAGGTCTACATTAGGCTTAGGTCAGGTCTAGGTTAGGCTTAGGTTAGGTCTAGGTTAAGTCTAGGTTAGGTTTAGGTTAGGTTTTGGTTTAGGTTTATCGTTGAGATAGAAAATTTGAAAGCTTGGAAACTTGAGAATTTTCAAGCCACAAAATTTAAAAATTTATAAGCTTGACAACTTACCGATTTTTAAACTGAAAATTTTGAAAATTTAGAAACTAGAGAATTTTCAAACCAAAAAATTTGAAAGTTCAAAACCTGGAAAACCTCAAAATTTTTAAACCACAAAATTTGAAAATTTAAAACCTTGAAACCCTAATTACTTCAACAAACCAGAAACAGTAAAAAAGTCCCCAAAATCTCAGTGAAAATAAAAAAACCGTCTCGTTTTATTTAAAAACATTTTTAAATTTTATTTAGAAAAATTGAAAATTTAAAAAAATTTACACAAAAATACTTAATAGCGGTCAATATATTCTTGCAGCAGCGAATGTGTTAATTATATCTACGCATTCATTTAATTATCACGTATAAGCTCATAATCAGTAATCCTTTTCGCTCATAAAATTTTGATATGGTCTCCAATAACTTGCGATTATGATAATCCGTATTTCGACACGCTTGGTTTTGTCTCATGGCTTCATTAACTTTTTGCGGAACAAGATAAAATATCGCAAAACAAACTATTCCATCATAAATAATTTATCTTAACATTTTTTATCATTTTTTTTAAATTTTAATGCAAAATTATTGTAAAATATAAAATATTTTAATAACTTTAATTTAAATTTATTATAAAATATAAAATATTTCAATAACATTAATTTAAAATTACTATAAAATTTTATAATCTTTATTATTCTATTATTGTTAAACTTTTAACAATTTTAATCTTAAAATTTTTTAATTATTTTATATTTCAAAGTGCAATATCAACGTACACAAACAAATAGATCCATCAACAAATTGAAACGAACCGCAAAAAGTTAAAACATTTTAGTAAAAATCCTTTATGAAATTGAATTTCTGATGAAATGGATACCGCAATGCAATGATCAAGCGCAAAATCGATGCAGAATCAATGTAATGCGGAATGCGGATGTTTGATAACATAGAAAGCTGTAATTAAGATCTTTTTACTTTACTAATTAGTTTATGAAGCATATCTGGCAGGCAATTAATTATACTTTTTAGACGTAAACAAGTTTTAATCATTACTTTGCGAAGTTCGAGATTAATTTAATCAGGCAAATATTTCAACGAGTAGCAATTGAACGCATCAAATTTAATTCAACAGTTACTTAATTAATTCTATATTGATCTTAATAAATCTCCGTTTGAAATTTACAATATGAAATATTGCAGTTGAAAATTTTAATGTTCAGATATGCTTCAGAAGTGTTACTGAAAATAAATAAGCCTTCTACAAGCTGGTAACTAAAATAACAACTAGAACTAGTTCTAAAATTAACTACACTCAAAATTGGATTATTTCAAAATTGACTACAGTTCAAAGTACGTTAGGTTATGTTAGGTTACTGCAAATTGATTTAATATGGTTATTCTTTAGTGAATAAATTATTTAATTTGTTATGAATATACTTTGACTGTTGAATAATTTTTAATAATCATGGATGACGTTAATTGAATGAATAACATCTAGTGAAATACTTAAAATAACTAGGATTTACTGTAAATATGGTGTGACCAAGTGTTTTCCCGCCAATTTGTAGTTCGCAAATGATCCGCCAGGTGGCGCGCTATTGAACGCCATTAAAAGAAATTAAAAAGTTAAAAAATGTAGATGGAAATTTGGGAATTTGGGGATTTAGGGATTTTAGAAGCGTGGAATTTGGTATTTTAGGGATTTGGGGATTTATGGATGTGGAAAATTGGGAATTTGGGGATTAGTGATTTTGGGAGCGTGGAATTTGGTATTTTAGGGATTTGGGGATTTATGGATATGGAAAGTTGGGAATTTGGGGATTTAAGTATTTTGGGAGCGTGGAATTTGGTATCTTAGGGATTTGGGGATTTATAGATGTGGAAAATTGGGAATTTGGGGATTTAGGGATTTTGGGAGCGTGGAATTTGGAATTTTAGGGATTTGCGGATTTATGGATGTGGAAAGTTGGGAATTTGGGGATTTAGGGATTTTGGGAGCGTGGAATTTGGTATTTTAGGGATTTGCGGATTTATGGATGTGGAAAGTTGGGAATTTGGGGATTTAGGGATTTTGGGAGCGTGGAATTTGGTATTTTAGGGATTTGGGGATTTATGGATATGGAAAGTTGGGAATTTGGGGATTTAGGGATTTAAGAATTTAGGGATTTGTGGATTTAGTAATTTGACATTTTCGAAATCTTGGAACTTAGAGATTTGGGAATTTAAGAATCTGGGAATTTATGGGGTTGGAAATTAAGAAACTTAACATTTTACAGAATTGTAAATTTTTGAATCTGGGAATTTATGGGGTTGGAAATTAAGAAACTTGACATTTTACAGAATTGTAAATTTTGAATCTCGAAATTTGAAAAGTTATAATAAAAAGCATCTCCTAATATATCAACATCCAATATACTTGGTCATACCCATATTAAATGGTTAGTAAATTCAAACTATACTCTAATTACTCTAAAATGTCCTAATAGCAGCTAAATAAAATGATGACTCAATTTAAAAGCTAGTAGCACACAGCATCGTTAGAACCGTCTCAAAGAAATAATTCGCAGGACTTACGTAACGTTTGGACCTTGACAACGTCTGGCAGAAAACCACTGTCTCCTTTCTCGTTAATGGCTTTCACACTGAACACATAGTAAGTCCCGAGTGACAGGCCTGTTATCGTGGTTTTATATTCTCCGGGGGAGACGTCCAGGTAGTGATACCGATCCTCGTAGTCGAGTGCTTCCCTCCAGCGAATTTGATAAGATGTCGGTAAGCCTCCGTCGAATCCTCTTTTCCACATTAGGGTGACGGAGTCGTGAGTGACGTTATAAACCTCGAGATCGGTCGGTTTGTCCGGCGGCGATGTCACGTCCAAATATATGGTATCCGTCGACTGTCCCATTTTGTTCATTGCACGACACTCGTATTCGCCGTAGTCGTGTGACGTCACGCGGAAAATCGTCAACGACGATTCGGATATTAATTCGCTCAGCTGGAAAATCATATGAAAATTCTATATGAATTTTGTAGGAAAACACTGTCTTTATATTTATTATTAGCAACAGCAATTATTAGTAACATTTATTTATTATTAGTAACTTTATACTTATAATTGGTAACTATACCATATATGTATCTACATTATACTTGTGTTTTTCTGGGAAAACAAGTTATGGTTACGTTCTATCACTTCTCCAAATAATTTTCCATTTATTAGTACTTGAAATTTTTGTACTATAAGGCAGATATGAGGTCATGAATTCGTGAAGTGAGAGCTTTGTTACAATATGGCGGTATGTTGCTATGGTAACAGCGTAAACAAGATAATTGGCAGTATTAATTGCTGTTGATACGTATGTATGTTTAAAATTGAAAAGCAAACGCATTTTAAGTTGCAGTTGTTATGAGTGAGTGAGGAATAAATAAAATAATTGATCGTTTTTAATTGCTATTTGGAATTAATTTGTCGTTCTTTTTAATTGCTGAAATTAATTCGTCGATCTTTTTAATTGCTATCTGAAATTGCAGAATAAAAAGAATATACTGTTTTCACAGAAAATATTACTTGGCCAAATATTCATCTAATGAAAATAATTAAGATTTAAATACTGAACTACTAAAAGTGAAAGCAAAGAAAATTTTTAGATTTACTGAATTTTAAAGAGGTTGAGTGTCTCGAAATATATGAATGAGTATATTAACAAAAAGGTTTGAAATTTCTCATATGTCACTATTGGTCACGTGTACCAACATGGCGACACGTCATATAGCGCGCAATTTGAAATACGTAACTTAAACTGATGAGTAAAACTTCATCATTCGCAGTGTAACGAATAAATTAATAATTAAAACTAGTTCATAATTAATATAAATCAAGAGTTATCTTTCATCGATTTACCGAACACTGAAATACGAAAATATACCTCAGGCGTTTGCGAGTGAGCCAACTACAAAAACTCGCATCTTCTGACTAGCTACGTACCGACAGTTTTCTCAAACCACATAAAATAAATATACAGCGTGTTCCATAAATCTTCACACATCTGTTTCCGTGAAAATCGAGTCAGAATATTCGTTACACACGCACTCGATCAGCAGCAAGCTTTGTAGTTTACCCAATTTTTGTAACTGTTTGTCCACACGCAAAATCAAGACCGTTAATCTCGCAAGGCCCATGTCATTTCTACTAAAGAATTAGCAGCACGAAGCTGTTATAACGGCAAGATACAGCAATCGAATACACCAATATGATTCGTGCACGAGCTTGCGACACCGCTGCAGCAGAATATTACAAACGGTACCGCCGCCATCTTGACGAGCAATACAAAATGGCCGCTCATCGAGCGGATGCTTTCGTATCTCGTCATAACGTGCTTGTAATCGCTACCGTTACAAGTCGGAAAAAATTCTTTGCTGCATTGTTCGCAATAATACCGGTAACTTGAGTGCTCGAGTCAACGAATATTCAACCCCGGGTTCTCGAAAACGCTTCAGACGAAGTTTATGGTACATCAGGACTAACGAAACACCGTGTAGAACCGGTCGGGTACTTACGTCCGTATGCGTGATGCTGTACTTGTGTTCCGTAACGTTGGGTAACAAAGTTTTCCCATCGAAAGTCCAAGCGAATCGTGGCAAAGGTGAACCACGTGCTTTGCAAAACAGTTGCACGTTTATGCCCTTGTTCGCAGCTGCTCTCCTGGTTAACGGCGTATTCATCATTTGCGGTTTGACTGTAACGCAATAATATATTTTAATGGATAGAACGGTCGCGTTGTGCGGTCCATATTGATTCAACGGGAGTACGTACAATTGGTTACGAATAGAATTGGCTCGGAGGTAACGTTACCGATCCCATTGTTAACTTTGCACTGATATTCTCCGACGTCTTCTTGATCAGGGTTTTCGATGTGTAGATAGGAAGTTTTGTTGATAAAAGAGGTGGAATATCGCCCGGAGAGCTCCGAGTTCGAACCAACTTTCTGCCATGTGACGTACTCGTCTCCTATGGGGCTACCGTCCACCTCGCAGAACAATTTCGCCTCGATTCCTGGAGGATATACTATTCCCGAGGCCGAGGTACGTTTAATTTTCGCCGCGTCTGAAAGACGAACGATGTACACGTCGTGGTAAAGTTTAACAAGTTAAACGCTCGGATACAACGGAGTATTGTTCTTGATATATCTTTACAAATATTTTGATATGTGGAGACTGGGAGCTGTTGGTCGAGGTAGCAGTTGGGGTATGATGTTTAGGTTGATACTTAGGTTTATCAAGGATGATACATTTCGGGTGATAGATACATTTGGGGAGATCAAGGGGTGTAGGTATTGAGAGTGTAGGTATTTGGGGAAGTGGGTAGTTTGGAATTTGGGGAGGAAAGTTTAATATTTGGGGATTTTGCAATTTGGGACATTTGGAATTTGGGTATTTGGGGATTGAGGATTTGGATGTTGGGGGAATTTAGGAATTGGGGGTTCAAGGTTTGGAAATGTGAGAATTGGGGATTTGGGAACTCGTGGTTTGAAATTTGGAAATTTGGAAATTGGGGATTTAGATATTGGGGGATCAAGGTTTGGAAATTTGAGAATTGGGGATTTGGGAACTGGGGCTTCGAAATTTGGAAATTTGGAAATTGGGGATTTGGATATTGGGGGATTCAGGAATTGGGGGTTCAAGGTTTGGAAATTTGGGGATTGGGAATTTGGGGATTGGGAATTTGGACGTTGGGGGATTTAGGAATTAGGGGTTCAAGGTTTGGAAATTTGGGGATTGGGGATTTGGACGCTGAGGGATTTAGAAATTGGGGGTTCCAGATTTGGAAATTTGGGGAATTTGGGAATTTGGGAATTTGGAAATTTGAGAATTTGGGGAATTTGGGGAATTGGGGAAACTTAGGGAATTTGGGGACTTTGGGAAATTTAAGGATCTTGAGAATTTGGGGAATTTAAGAAGTTAGGAATTTGGGGAATTTAGAGAATTGGGGGAACTTAGGGAATTTAGGGAATTGGGGGAAATTTAAGGATCTAGAAAATTTGGGGAATTTAGAGAATTTGGGAATTTAGGAATTTGGGGAATTTGGGGAATTGGGGAAACTTAGGGAATTTGGGGACTTTGGGAAATTTAAGGATCTAGAAAATTTGGGAATTTAGGAATTTGGGGAATTTGGGAATTTGGAAGATTGAAAATTGGGAGATTGGGAATCTGAAAATTTGAAATTTAGGGAATTTTGGTTTTGCAAGTTTGGAAATTTGGAAATGTGGGTTCTGTAAGTTTGAAAATTTGAGAATTTGACAGTGTGGCAATTTGAGATTTGAAAATTTGAAATTTTGGAGATTAGGGATTTAGAAATGTGAGAATTTGAGCTTTGCAAATTTGAAAACTTGGGAATTTGGGTTTTGCAAATTTGGAAATTTGAGAACTTAGAGGTTAGGGATTTTGAAATTTGAAAATTTAGTAATTAGAGAATTTAAAATTTGGAAGATTGAAAACTTAAACATTGAGTGTCTAAAAATTTAAAAATTAAAGAATTTGAGATTTGCAAGTTCAAAAATTTGGAGATTATAGATCCGGAATCTAGGGACCCTAGGGATTTGAGTTTCTACACCAATCTCGAAATTCACCAAATTTGTTCAAATAACTAAATATTTATAAACGTTGTAATTTAAAAATTTTTCAAATTAAAAAATTATAAATTTGAAAGTTTAAAAATTAAATAATTACTACCAAAAATTTAAAACTAATTATTGATTCATATATCAATTAAATACTATTTGTAATCTATACAAATAATTATATTTAATTTTAATACTAAAGAAACTTTATAATGTCAGTACTTACTCAAAAATTGAATCAAATAATTCTATTTAATTGCAAACCAAAGAAAATTTAATTACACATATTTAATCATTTCCTTATAATCACTTACATTGAACAGTTAAATTCAGTTGATAAAATGTCGTCCCCTCCTCGTTAATCGCCTCACAGATGTAAGTTCCAGCATCATGGCGGTCCAATTTAGTAATATTCAACGTGGAACCGCGAACAGATATTCTTCTATTGTTACTGACTAATGGCAAACCATCTCTAGTCCATGTATATTTTATGTCATTAGGATTTCCCCTGGCAGAGACGGAAATTACGAAAGGTTCACCTTCCATTCCAATTAATTCGTACGGCACTATCGGGAAGAATATCGGCTTGTCTGTAAATCAATATTAATTTCATCTAAATGATATTTCATTACTAATAGAAAAATAAATTATATTTATATTTCATATAAATAGAAAAAATAATTTCTTAGTCTAAAAAATTAATATTATAATTTAAATACATTTCAATTTTTGTTATATTTGAAAAATTTCTAATTTGCAAATAAATAAATATTACTGAATTTTACAGTGTAAAATTTATTTCAATATTACTAAATAATAATTTATTTTTATATTAACAAATTTTGCTATTTAATCATTTTGCAAATATTTAATTTTGAAAATTGTAAAACTTGATTTTCTCAAAAAGTCTAGATAGTCTCTTTCTATTTATTATTAATTAAATAATATATTTCATATTTCAAAGTTTAATTAAAAACAAATAAAAAACAGTATATTTATAACTTATGATTTACAAAAAAATTTTACAAAATTTGTTGCAAAAAAAATAATTGCCTCAATTGGATTTGAACCCCAATCAAAAGATTTCAACGTCAATGTCTCAGCAGTTAGACCACAATTTCTATTAAATAAATAATTTCTTAAAATTAATATATTTGGTATGTTTTATTTTTGCAAGACTTTAAATTTATTTAAGGAATAAAACATGTACAAAAGAAGAGCAATGGATATTTCATGGATCCCCCAATTTTCGCTGCTCGTATACTCACACAACACGTCGAGGGTGGTGGCATCGTGAATTGACCTCTCCATTTGATTGTTTCTCGCCTGACACGTGTACACTTCCCCGTTCATTTCTTCCGTCACATCCAACGTGAGCTCGACGAACGACAGAAATCCACCATGTAAGCCGGGTTTAGTGCCGTTTTTGGTGCCCTGTACGGGAATACCACCCCTCCACCATGACATCTCTGCCGCTGGATTACTGCTGCTCGATTCGCAAATAATACGACCCTCTTGGCCCGCGTGCAGGTTCTGAGGCTCGCGAGTGATCTTCACTTTTTCGGGGGGAACTGGGGGTGAAAAACAAACTTGAAATAAATTATCTGGAAGAGATACTAAACCTAGCACACCCTTCAGAAATAAACGAACGGTAAAACATTTTGTTAAAAAAGAGAGTTCTTAGGGTTAGCCTTGTGAAAGTTAACATGCATTGCTTTAACTGAATTTCTTATAGTCTTTTGAATTTTTAAAATTTATACTACACTATTATTATGTGATTACATTTCATCACTTCTGCAAAAGATTTTCCATTTATTAGTAATTGAAATTTGTGTACTATAAGGCAGATATGAGATCATGAATTCGTGAGGTGAGAGCTCTATTACAATATGGCGGTAACTATGTAAGGTTGCTATGGCGATGCTACTATAAAAATTATATGAAAGTACTGTGAAATATTAAAAATATGAAATTGAATACTAGAAAGAAAATATAAAATATTATATTTAATTAAATATAGAAGAATATTAATTAGATTAAATAAAAGCTAATCCACCACAAATAAAAATTCAAGTTATGCCAATGACACTACAGTAACAAAGATCGGACTGTTCCACGTTCAAGAGTTAATTTAACCTAAAAGCCAAGAACAATGCGTCGAAATATACGTTTTGTTGGGTCTTACAGTTCACTTTCAGAACGAGGACTTTAAGCAGAGGAATTTCAGTCGCTGAATTCGACGCTTCACATCGTATACGAGCATTATTGTCGGAAGCGTTTACGAGTATCGTCAGCTCACTAGAAACTGCATGGTCTCGGGTTCTGGTCGTTCCTAGTACCTAAAACAGAAAATGTGCGGTTAGGTAAATATGTTTACTCGTTTATGTTTCTACTTGTATTTTTATTTATACACTTTAGACAAAATTTCAAGTCTGTTTGATACAATATTTTCTGTATTAAAATGTATTTTAATGTTATATGATATATATGTGTATATTGTCATATAATAAGTGTGAGTGTATTATCATATAATAAGTATGAGTATATTAATGTCATAGCACATGTGTATATTGTTATATCACAAGTATGAGTATATTGTCATACAACAAGTATGTGTAGGTTAACGTTAAAACACAAGTATGTATATATTTTTATATAAAACAAATATGAATATATTAATGTCATAACACATGTGTATATTGTTATATCACAAGTATGAGTATATTGTCATACAACAAGTATGTGTAGGATAACGTTAAAACACAGGTATGTATATATTTTTATATAAAACAAATATGAGCTTATTAACGTCATATCACAGGTATGTGTATATTAAATGTGTATATTAATTAATAAACTCATATGTATTAATGTCACATAACAAGTTGAACAAGTCATTGTCAATAAAACTTATGTTATTGCTGTACAAGTTATTCAGTATCCTACTTTCATACAAAATCTTGTCAACGACTACTATAAATTACAAGAAATATTTTTATTTGAAAAATTTGATCATGAAATCTTTAAAAATCAACCTACATACAATTCCTAGGTACTATTCATAGAGATATTAATTTTGAATGTTTTTATAGATCTGAATGTTACATAATTCTATACAAGATGGGTACTGTTGATTACTTCAGTGAAAATACTATTAGTTTAATTGAATTTATGTGTCGCTTTAGGTTCACTAGTTTTATTTTCACCATGAGTATTTCACCAAGTTTGTATTTAAACAAAAAATACACAAATTTCTATTTTCTAAAGTGGTTATATAAGCAATGAACACATCAGCATCTACCTGTGATGAATACCTGACGATGAACTTGGTTATATGTTAAATTGTAGAGTTTACGCTTTACAGATAAGTACATATGTATTTATTAATGCATAATGTACCTATTATAATGTAAATAATGTATCTATCATAATGTAAATAATGTACCTATCATCACAGACAATAAAATACTAAATTAGTATGGCAAAATAAGTACAATATATTTGCTAACCTTCCTATCATTTTTGTACCAACTCAATGTAGCCAAAGGGTTGCCAGACATGGCTGTGCACATAAGTCTGAGAACAGTCCCAGCATCAATGGTGGTTCCCTCTTCATATCCCGTGATGGTCAGCTTCGAGGGTGGATCTGGCAAAATAAGACGAGGCTAAAGTTACAAATGTGGTATCAAAATGACAAGTTTCACCGTATAGAGTGAACAAAGCCTTTTAACACGATGTTCCGGATTAAGTTAGAATTAATTTCCAGCGAAGATTCGTATTCCCGGATTTACGACAGATCGGGATTCATAGATCCCGTTTAAACTGATAAGATATGAGGTAAACGGCGCAGCAAAGTCTAAGCTTGCCTGCGGATTAGCATGATATTAATCCCGGTCTAAGTCCAGATTGTGCTCGGATTACGTTTACATCGCATTCATTCACCCAATTGCCTGCTCGTGTACTCACAAATCACAGTTATGGTGTGCGTTCTGACGACGTTCTCCGTCAGTTTGGCGTTAGACGCGTCGCATATCACCACGATACTGCGACTAGTGCGGTTAATGTTGAATGTCACGTTGGACGATGTGATCCAACCACCCTGAGGAGCCGGTTCCGTTCGCGACGCGTTGCTTTCAAAATTGTGTCCGTCTACGGTCCACTTGATGTCCGCTGGCGGGTTCGAGTTCTCCGTCGTGCAAGTGATCACCACTTGTTCGTCCGCTTTGGCCTCGGTTGGTCCGGTGATCATTACTCCCGATGGGGCGACTGCAAACGATGGTAATTCGTTCAATCGATTGCCTTTTGGTATGATGGGTGATTAAATATCGATACGGGGATCGGTTAATACGGTGGTCTGTAAATATTTTTGGTTTGATTTGGTATATTGCAATTTTCTCCGATGCTCTTACTATATTGCAATTTTAAAAGGCTAACTCATTGGAGCTATGAACGATTGTATTATATCGAAATTTTCAACGATAACATTTATATGATAATTTCTTTGTCATACTGTAGTATGCTGTAATTGACACTCTTAATATATTGCAATTTTAATGTATTGTAATTGTAAATGATTGTTCGATTATATCGAAATTTTCAACTATAATTTTGATATATGACAATTTTTTTGTGATATTTACAGTATACTGCAATTTTCTCTGACGCTCTTGATATATTGCATTTTTAAACAACTTTCTTAATATATTGTAATTATAAGCAGTTGTCCCATTATATTGAAATTTTCAACAATGATTTTGATATGTGACAATATTTTTATGAAGCTCGCAGTATATTGCAGATTTCTGTGATACTCTTATTACAATGCAATTTTTATTTTAATGCATTGCAACTATAAACGACTGCCTTAAGATACCGGAATTCTCAACGATGGTTTTGGTATATGACAATTTTTTATGATGCTCGCAGTATATGGCAATTTTTTAATGATCTTAATATATGGTAATATTCAATGATGACAATTCTTTGCGATGTTTTTAATATATTGCAATTTTCGACGATTTTAGTATTTGATGATTCTTATATGTTATAATTGTCTGAGGCACTTTTAATGTATTGCAATTTTTAAAAGTTACATTAATGTATCCTAATTTTGACAATTATGATAATTTTGTCGATCATAATATATGGTAATTTTCAATGATGATCTTATTATATTGCAGTGTTCAATAATGATCTTAATATATGGCATTTTTCTTTAACGTTCTTAATATATTGCGATTTTCAATAATGCCTTTATTATATCGTAATTTTGTAGATAATCTTAACATGTAATTTTCAGTGATCATTTTAATATATTGCAATTTTCTGTGATACTCTTCATACACTGCAATTTTTAATGATTATTTTACTACGTCGTAAATTTTAATGACGATTATAATATATAGCAATTTTCAATGATGAATTTAATATACGACAGCTCTCTGTGACTCTCTTAATATATTGCAATTTTCTGTGATGCTCTTCATGCACTGCAATGTTTAATGATTATTTTACTACGTCGTAAATTTTAACAACGGTTATAATATATGTATAGCAATTTTCAATGATGATCTTAATATACGACAGTTTTCTGTGACTCTCTTAATATATTGCAATTTTCAATGTTGCTCTTAATATCTCCAAATAATGATTGAATATTAGAAACTATAGGAACATGCTATTTTGAACAATTTTTAATGATGCTCTTTATATACGATTATTTTCTGTCACTCTCTTAGTATATTGCAATTTTCAATGTTGTTCTTAATATCTCCAAATAATGATTGAATATTAGAAACTATAGGAGCATATTGCTATTATGAATAATTTTTAATGACGCTCTTTATATACGATAATTTTTTGTCACTCTCTTAATATATTGCAATTTTAAATATCACCCTAATATATTCCAATTTTGACGAGAATAATAAAGTGACGAATATTATGACGAACATATAATAACTTTCAACAAAGATTTCAATATAATGAAAGTTTTACGACACTCTTACTATATTGCAATTTCCATGATGCTCTCAATATATCGCATCAAACCAATTCAAACTCAAAATCATTGAATTACTACTCCAGCAATATTCAATATTTCCACTTCAATAAATATACTTCAATAAATATTTCCTCAATAAATATACTTCACATTCCAGTCTTCTAAAATTTCCTTTTCAAATCGCGTTCGACATCCAACACAATAAACGAAAAGGCAAGGACTAACATCGTAAAAGCTAAAGAATCGAAACAGGCCCAGTGCTGTCATCAAAGTGTCAAGTAATAACAGTGATTCAACGCTACTCACACAAGACGGTTAAATCGACGTGCACCTTCATCGGTTCGACGCTCATGATGTTCGACACCTCGCACCTGTATTGTGCATTATTGTCCTGCGCTTTGGCGATGATCGACAGCACGCTCTCAGAAAACATGCCCTCCGTTCGATACACGGTGGACACCTGTTCGTCGTTTCTGTACCAGACGATTTGTGCAGGCGGATTTCCACCGCGCGATCGACAAGTTAGCTCCAACTGTTGCCCGCGTTTCACCGTTTCGCCCTCCGTGTATCCCTCGATGTACGGCATACCAGGTGGGTCTGGAAATTATTCAATCATGCAAGTCCAACGAGAAAGGCCCTGCACACCTCGAATCTCTGTTCTTTTGGTAATGGAAAAAGTTTCTTAATAAAAGTTTCCCAACCTGGGAACGGGGAACAGGTGGCGGTAAATTAATACACAACCCGATGAATAAAAAGGTGTGATGAATGTTTATTTTATTAGAATCTGCTGATCTTAAGAGCTCAACAAATTAGTCATTTAGGTTGATTTTTAGAAATTTCGGTTTTTGAGATTTTAGGATTTTTATGAGTTTCATTTCAAGGTTTATAGTTTCATTAGTTTATTATTTTATACTGCAAAATTTGTTGTGGACTTCGAGCTAAGCGTTGTGATCTTTATGGAGTTAAGGAATATTTTTGTATATTATTAAGTTTATTATTAATTTATTATAAGTTTGCTTATAACATTTCATTATATTTTTAATTTCATATTATAGTTAATTATTTTGAACTTTAATATTGTTATTAGGGGCATAACTCAGCCTCTAAAAATTTAAAAAAGGGTGTGAAGTCTCAAACCTTGAATTAAAAGGTTTGAGTCGAATGGAGGTCGAATTTATTAAATCTTGAAACGTTCAGAAAATTCATTTTGTCAAACTCGATTTGATTTTAATTACGCGGTGAAGGTAAAAAAATAAGTACTTACAGAAAACAGAAAGCTTGATGGTGGCCCTCAAGGGCATGTCGATACGTATTGCAGGATGATTTGCCTCGCAGGTGTAATCCATGTCGTTGTCATCCGCAGTGGGAATGATGGTAATGGAACCATGAGTATCGTATTTGAGCAACTCTTTCTTGTTTTCGCTTGCTTTCTGCACTTCTTTATCTGAAACAGCAAACATGGAATATATTGTACATTATAAAACTTGAGACAGAAATGTGAAATGCTGTCAGGGTTGGTAAGAGACATTTTTAGAGAAATATGGTAACTTGGGAATGTTAGAGTTTGGGGTTTTGTTAGTTGGGAAATTTAGAATTTGAGGATGTAGGATTTTAGAGATTTAGCATTTTGAGAATGTAGAACTTTGAGGACGTAGGATTTTGTAGTTTCAGGATTTTGAGAATGTAAAACTTTGAGGACGTAGGATTTTGTGGATTCAGGACTTTGAGGACTTAGGATTATGAAGATTCTGGACTTTGAAGATATACATAAAATTTTGAGGATGTAGGGCTTCAATGATTTAGAATGTTGCAAATTTATGATTTTGTTCATTTAAACTAATTATGAATAATTTAAAACTTTCTCCACTTCCACATTTAAAAAAATTGCTATTAAATTAAAAAAAATTCGAAACGAATAATATCGTGTTTCGATATCCACCTCACAGCTCTCTATCAAGTGAAGTGTTCCTAGAGGCCCCATCGGTAGACACTGTTTAAATGATCGTGGAACGAGACTGGACAGGCTTTTACCCCGAAGTAACGATCGCTCTTCCTTTTCAGAAATCGCGACTTCCGATGTCGCTTACCGACGCTATTAACCCGTTTGTTACAAGCCTCAATACGAAAAGCTTTCAGTATAGCTCAACGCTAGAACTACCAAGACTTAACAATTTCATTTTAAAATTCTACGTTACTTTATTCGAATGACTCTTGCAGCGATGGATGAATCTTTTCGTTTATTCGGAATGAAAATTTTGTATCGCTTATACCGATACGTCATCAAGACTGGTGCTTGAAGTGGAAAAGTATCTGTAATATGTTTAACCCGAAATCGTTTATTAGATATTTAGATAGATTTAGCGACGTTTTCTTAGGAAAATCGCGCTGGCAACATGAACATGGCCGACGTAACGTAGTCATCTACGCGGCCATTTTGTATATCGATGTAGTACCTAATTCTTTTTCGTGTAGCCCTAAAAGTGGCGGACGAATCGTTGCTAAAAGTGAACATACCAATGCTTTATCGAGAATGAATTGTACGAGAAAGTGAATTAGAAGAAAATTGAACTTTACAGATAATGAGACGAAGAAAATGTGAATTGGAAAATATTTGGAATTCAAAGTGCTCGTGTTCTGAAGAAAGTACGAGATCAACAAAATGAAGTTTGGAAAAAAGTTTAATTATATTATAGTTATGTCCTGTAGTTATTCTATAACATGGTTTTTTGTGAGACAGTAAATAAAAATCTATTATTACGTATTTTTGGTAGGAATATTTTAGTATTGGTCTAGTCTTAAATTACTTCTCTGATGAAAGTACGAATGGAGAGAGATGGACAGCAAAGCGTATGGATGAAAAGTTAACTCGCACGAATTAGAGGGAGCATTATGGGATTGTCAGGGAGGATTAAATGGTGTACAATGAGATATCTGCATGGATAAAGTTGATTAAACGACGTCTTTAGGCGTTTTTTAATGATTGTAGGAATTGTAGGGAATTTAGAGACGAATTGGTAACGTAATTTCGTGGTTTTATTATTGCTATGGGTTGTTTGGAACGTAATGGCGTTTGTTGGTTATCTTCCGCCATTTTGTTATCGATTCTCAGAGAATGAAACTTGAGAACCTCTAGTTTATCAGTTAGTATACTTGAAAGTTTCTAATTTACCATTTAGTAAATTTATAAATTTGTAAATTTGTAAATTTGTAAATTTGTAAATTTGAAAATTAAAAAGTTTGGAAATCTAAATATTTAAATACTATAAATTTGCAAATTTAAAAATTTGGAAACGTAAATAGTTAAACACTATAAATTTGGAAATTTAAATATTTAAATACTATAAATTTGCAAATTTGCAAATTTGGAAACTTAAATATTAAAACACCATAAATTTGCAAATTTGAAAATTTGGAAATTTAAATATTTAAACACTCTAAATTTACAAATTTGCAAATTTGGAAACCTAAATATTTAAACACTGTAAATTTGCAAATTTGCAAATCTAAATATTTAAATACTCTAAATTTATAAATTCGAAACGTCAGAAATTGAATAATACAAAATTTGAAAATTTGAAAAATTGAAAAATATGAAACTATAATTTCAAAACCTCAAAACCTATATATTTTAATAATTGCAAATGTATAAGTTGAAAAATCTGGAAATATGGTAGCTTTCAATATTTGTTCCTTCAAAATTCAGTGCATTTAAAGCATCATTTACCCGACTTCCGTTTCTATCAAACACATTAAGAAATAATACTAGAATTTTTCTTTAATCTCCCTCGCTAAAACGGACGATTAAGTTGCACCTCAGTCCCCGTTAATCTTGCGTTTTTCGACCGCATTTTCTATCGGGATTTATCGTGGATTTACACCGTGAACGTGTGAACCGCTGAAACGCGGCACGTAATCTGAAATTTAATTAACACGGTGTGAATTTCGGTAATACGAGTTCGTTACACGTGGCTCGATGTTACACGCTGGAAAATGGTTGCACATAAAGTTCGAACATTCGCTGTTGCGTTATGAAAACTAATTATTCAAACAATAAGGCAAATTAACTCTGTTCTTTTTCTACCAACACCAGACAGAAATTACACGGATACGTAATTATATTACCTTCTGTACGATCTGTTTAATAAAGTAATAACAGTATCTCTGTAATGAAAGCAATTCTAATTTTTAACAGTTTAATCGAATACGACTTTAATAATTACTGGATTTTTATACTTTATTGTTTGCAAACTGTGGATATTTGTTGTAGGTATTTACTGTTAATATTTGTATTAAAGAATTTTTGTTTGTAGGATGCGTTGACGCCATATTGGTTTCTGACGCTCCACCTCGCGTTTTGTATTTTAATTTTACAACAGAATTTTAGTCATAGATGAATATTAATGTGATAGAAAAGCTCCTTGAGATGGCACCAATGTTGTGGTAACAATAAAATGTCATAATTTGAAAGTTTATTTTGGAGATCAGTAATGTCACTTTTCTGTAACACTGGGTAGCCATCTTGTATTGAATGGAGACTTTATATACTTCAAATCTTAAGCTTTAATATGTCATAAACGTCATCTTTACATTACTAAATTAATATCTGAATCTTTATTTTCCAAATTAATTATTTCACCAGTAACTAAAAATTAAAACTAATTGTTCAGCAACAAAAATGAACTATAAAATTATGAAAGTTCACAGACCGGTCCATGCATCAATGAAACAAAATGGACGCTTCCTAGGAAAATATTTGACACTTTTTATGTCAGAGATCGATTTGTGAAAAATAGCAGAAGCGCAATCAATCGTGATCACAAAGGAAATATCACAGGAAAATATGAAATATTGCGTCACCGGTGAGTGACACTATTAAATTATATCGAACGAAACAGTGAGATGGATGCAATCAACGAGAAGCGTGTATTGACTCAGAAAACGATGAGTTTCGGAATTCCTGACGCGACAGAACGTGTGCAAACGACAGAGGAAACTTGCACGTGTACAGCTAGAAGGAAACTACTTAGACTTAGTTGTAAACTAGTCGTAAACCACCGAAATTTTGTCTCCAAGTGTGAAATCCGATTGAGAAACGAGCATGCACGAGCGTCGTTGCAAACTCGCCGTTTAAAGCGTCCGACAAGTCGATTTCGTTTGCGAGCACTCCATTGGATTTTAAATAGCTTCGATACATCGATCGTGACACGATCCTTTTAACACTTTAGGAACTTTTATCGACAATTTTTCGCAACTGTTTGTTGTGTTTTATCGCATTTAGGTTTTTGAGCTTGCGACTTTCGGGATTGCAAGATTTTTTCGGAAATTGAAGTTAGGACGCGGGAAATTTGAATTTCATAAAACTAAAAATATTAAAATTTGTAAATTTGGAGATTTTAGAGTTTGAAAAATTAAAAAATTATGAAGATCAAAATACTTCTATATTTCTTTGTGATTTGAGAATTATAGAGAAGTTTTCAATTTAAAAAAATTGGAAACTTTGAGGTTAGAATATGGAAAGTTTTGAACTTTAGAAAATTGGAGAAATAAAAGTTTAGAAATTGAGAGATATGAAAGCATAGAAATTTAGAAATTTAAAAAGTCATGAAATGAAACTTGTGCAATACTTCTTTAGGATATAACTATTTGAGGTTAAGTCGAGGTTTACTTCTGAAGACGCGGGAAAATTTGAATTTTATAAAACTAAAAATATAAAATCATGAAAATTTAAAAATTTGAAAGTGCCGAAATTTAAAAGGCTATAAAGAGATTTGTGATTCTTCATTTTCTGACTACCCAAGTTTTGTCCATTGATACAGCAATGATAACGAGCGTATACTGCATAAATTGAGTGCCTTGTATCTTATTATAATACATCTCCGTTCACAATCGCGAGCCGCATCGAGAGCTCGTTATCGCGTTAAAATATAACAAAGAGACACTGAATAATGTAAGAAAAGTACACTTGTATCGAGAACAGAACAAAAGGTAAACTCGACAAATATTCGTTGGTGAAATAAGATTGCGCGATTACTTTATTTAGACGGGAAATTAAATTGAAAAAAAAGGTACGGTATAATTTTCAGCTGTCGAAATGGAAAAAATAATTTTTACGGGAGAAAAATTAGCTCGCGCGAATGAAAATACCGGGGGCAGATGGGAAATTGAAATTTCTTGAAAAATTAAAAATCAACACGAACGCGAAATGGAGAACGGAGGTACATTTGTTTCGTGTATTCTAATTCGATCTCGACAAATGGAACACTCATGTAAATTTATCTGAAAATTTTCGACGGAGACTCTGTGCTTCGAATGTGTAATTGGGAGGAAATTACATTTACTGTTCTATGGTTTTGTTTAACAATGCAATAATTTGGATGCTTTTAAATTTGTTTTTGAGATTTAGAGGCTACAGAAATTTTCATGAATTTTTGAGGAGAATATAAC